GTAAGTTATTCATAGTTTGACAATATATTATTGAAATTAGCATGCGAGTAATAAAATATATACATTATATTGCGCCGAATTTCTATAAACAAAAAATAAATAATAATATATTAATAAAAAGGCCCTCCTAGTAAGAGTATTACTCTAAAATTGTACCTGTTACTTCGGACTTAGTACGTAAAATTAAAGACACATTGACGTAGTCCCTTTCAACGATCAATAAATATAGAGGAAAAAAAAAACTATATGTAAAACTGCAACGGTTACTTCGTTGTTTTTATATATGTATATACTAGGGAACTCGGCGAACTCCGTTTCACCACCAGAAGGCTTCGTTTTATGTAACATTTCGTTTGGTGATTAAAAAACTACGAATTTTTATCCAGTTTAACTTTTCCACTTGCGCAGCACAATCCAGCCCACGATACAAAGGTAGTCCCTTCGGCAGTCAAAGCGGTCGGGTTTTGCTTCAGTGCGTCTTCGTTTTTCGTAGTGAAAGGTTGTGTTCGGACAAATTTTTTTCTAACATTAACCCATATGCAACATGACATTTTGCTTAACTATTAAACAATTATATTTTAAAACACGAATATGCTTTAGGATTAAGAATTTAAAAAAAGACTCGCCTCGAAAAAACAGAAAGAACGGCTCATTTCGAACTCTAAATTGTTAAAAATTAAATTATAAAAAACAATGTTCTACTCGTTTTATTACAAAAGGAAGCTTAAAGCCCCATACATCATCTAAGGGTTAATCAGCACATTCTATTGTTGTCCCGCTCGCACTTATCAGGTTGAGCCCCTCTTACTCGCTCTCATTGCTATGATTGAAGAGGTACCAGATTTTTCGGACGGAAGTACCTTTTATAATTGTATCATTATTCAGCCGTTTCTCTTTTAAACTTTAACGCATTGCAATATCGGCATATAGTCGTCATTGGTCCTATATCTAAACTTTCATCATCACTGTAGTTCTCCGTCGATGCCAATGATCTTCGTGTCCTAACGCGTTTTCTCATTAGGGAACTCTTTCTTATTTTATTTGATACATTCTTACTACTTGATATATTGGTTTGTAGTAAATGCTATACATATATCAGCGATGGATATCCCGCTTTTCTGTCGAACGGGATAAAAAGTATCCTATGTCCGTCTCCTGGCTCTAAGCTACCTCCGAACCAATTTTCACCTAAATCTGTTCTGCCGTTCTTGAGTTATAAGTGGTGTATAAGACACGACTTTCTCTTATATATAGATATTTTTATTTTACATTGTACAATAGTAGATACATCAACCCAACATATTATTTAATATCTTGAATTTTTAAAATAATGTTTTTTAAATATTTAACTTGATCTAAATCGAGTTATTATATGTATTGCATTGAAATTATATGCTTTGATTGATCAAAATGAGTATATTCTTAATAATCCAAAAGTATTTTGATTGGAACCCAGCTTTAATTCAAAGAAAGCTGAGATCGACTGCTAGGAAACCGTCGGAGTTCTCCTCTCTCTCCGATCAATCATTGGAAGATGTTTTCGCCTTTATCCAAAGCAAAACCAGATCCGAAAAAAAAGATATAGGCGGAAAAATCCAAATTTTCTTACGCTAGAGATCTTTCATCTTTCAAAATAAATGTCCCTAACGAGCACTTTAAAACAATTTGCTCTACCAACTTCTGGCCAGAGTACGTTGTTGTTAAGGATTTCACAACGAAGAAAAAAACGGAATATAGCAATAACTCTTCCCAGGCCTAATCAGACTACTGCGCCTGCTACGTCTATCAATTCCGACCCAAAAAACTAACCCACTCGATAGGTATTTCGTATCAGAATGCTAGAGGCTTACGTAGTAAGTTTCCTACCTTGTATTCTGATGGCCTTTCGTTTGCTTCTCAGGTTATTGTGATCACAGAAACCTGGTTAAGGAAGGCAACGACGTTGAATTTCTTTGCGTAAAGCTATCTATAAAAGATAGCTCCACATGTTCCTATATACCTCCATTGTCGGAAAATCCTATTTATTGGAACCGCTATTCAGATGGTTTAAAGAAGATTTTTGGATAGAGACCAGTTGGTAGTCCTAAGTGATTTTAATATCCCTGGGGCTATTTGGTGCTCTAAAAATTCCACCAAGACTCTCCTAACTTTTAAACAACATGTCATGATCGCTGTCTTGTTTGACATTTCGCTGTCTTAACCAAGTACGCAGTTTCTTTCAGCGCTTGCTCGATCTTTGTTTTGTCCCTGATCCGGCGAGAGTCAGTTTAGCTAGGGTGGCGCCTCTGACGCAGCCCGAAGATCCGTATCATCCTACTTTCGATGTGACTCTTGATATTGGGTCTCACGTCAACGCCATGAATTCATTTTTTACTGAATGTGTTCCGTTCTACTAGCCGCCAAGCTCAAATAAACCGCGGTGGTTTACTAAAGAGTTGAGCCGACTTAAAAATAAAAAATCTAAGCCTAAAACAAATCCTTCCTCGCATTTATTTGAAAATACTACCGCAAATAATGATCACGCAATAGGCGATCTACTTTCGCAGTTTTTTCAAACAACTTATTCAAACTCTTCCAATTTAGACTAGACTTATTCCTACGACATACCCAAATCAAACTTAATTTTCTGTCCCAGCCTAAACGAAAGCTCTCTTCTTTTAGATCTTCATCGTGTCAAGCCAGTTCATTCGCCAGGTCCCGACGGAATTCCTGGCTGTGTGCTCAGGTGTTGTGCCGATGCCCTGTGCTATCCACTACTGAAATTGTTTACCTTATCCTTAGAAACCTCCCACACTTCACAAAAAAGATAGCAAATTGGATGCCACCAATTATAGAGGACTCTCTAAGTTGTCGGCTATCCCTATGTTCGGAGCAGACCGCTCGCGCCTAATTATGCGCTCATAGGTGTATCGCTGGACCTGCTGCGCTCTTAGCTCTTCTCTTTGTTATCTATTTCTCACTCTGTTCTTCTTCTGTGGCCTTATCTATTAAGCTAAGCTACATTGTAAGCGCATATATATTGAAGCCAAGCGTTCGTTCGGTAGTTGAAGCTCCAACGAGTGAACGTTAAAATAAGAAAATAAATATGGCATAAAATCGACCTATTCGTGCGTTAGTTATTATTACTCAAGGGTGGCAAGTTCGTTGTCTTCCCCATAAACACCCTAAACTATTCGAAAACAGTATTACTCATCACTTGCAGCACCTTTGTAGATCAATTATTTCTCCATGTCAATATGGATTTTTAAGCAAAGATCAACAACAACAAATCTTTTGGAGCTCTCTTCCTATATTATAAGGGGCTTCTATAATAATTTTCAGACAGATGTAATCTATACTGATTTCATTTAAGAATTTGACTCTGTTAACCAGTCTAACTAGGACCCTAATTGTTTACATTATTTATATATGACCTGCCCAAAGTATTGACTTACTACAATGTGCTTATATACGCGGATGACGCTAAGCTTTGCGTACAATACAATGACGTCACATGCCAGTCGGATTTACAAACAGATCTCAATAATTTTCAAATTTGGTGCCGTGTAAATTTATTAATCTTAAACGGCTCGAAATGCAAGCTATTGACATTCTCTTGTGTCGTTCCTATGCTTGCTACTTACACGCTGAACTGCTGCTCTTTAGAAAGAATTAATTTAGTTGATGATTTGGACACTCGCACTAGCACTAGCAGCACAACTAAATTGGAGAATAAAACCAATTATATACACAAAATTAGGATAGCTGCATGCACACGCGAAGTGAACGGGGAGTTATAAACACAAATTAGAAAATTTAAGTTAACCCCGGTGGTTAGATTGAAACTTTAACACAAAACGAGAGCGCAAGAAAAAAACACGTCCGTTCACTTGGAAAGATGATATAAAAATCTCGAGATTTGTGTACACAAATGTACACTCGACTTGCAAGCTGCAGCGCAACTTTGCACGTTCTTTGCACGTTAGGCTTAGGTGTAAGTGGACGCGAATGAAAATGTAGAAAAGGGAATGAGGAAACTACCGGCATGTTGCCAATTTCTTTGTTTAAATATGTTCTAAGCGGGTTAGGATATAAGTTTTAAGTTTAGGAAGACCAGCTAAGTAAGAGATTATATTTTACAAAAAATAATTATTTTTTTAAAGCGAAATTAGGAGACGTAGAAGGCGAATGGTCTGATCGGCCCTAGGAAGAGTTATTTCTACAGGCCTTTTAACTTTGAACTCCTTGACAACAACTTTGGTCAGAATTTAGTAGAGCATATTGTGTTAGACCGTTTGTTAGGGAAATTTATTTTAAGAGATTGAATATTGCTAGCATAAGAGAATTCAAAATTTTCCACCTTATGTTTATTTTTTTTGTCTCTAAGTCGCCTATAATAACATCTTCAGATGTTTGAGCAGGGCAGTGTCGCGAGTCGTAGGTGGAACTGCTATAAGGGCTTTTGCCGGCCGGTAGTCCAGGCCTGATGACCTTATCTGGGTACTTAATTGAACTCTGAGGGGTCATAATTTAATACCCAGAGGGCAAAACGGTTGTCACCGCCGGATCTGGAATCGGATTTTTTTTTGCACTAGATCTCAGGATTCTTGTAATCGATGCTGAAGTCGAGGGCTGTACCGAGGGTGCTGCTGAGTGCTACATGCTTCCACCAATTCGTTTTTTTTTTTTTCGAATGGGCGGCTCATTAAACAGCGTAAGGCTATAAATATAAATTGACTATCCAGAGCCATCTCATATCGTCCGCTGTCCGAGCTGCAACACCAATAACTTTCGGCAAACAGACCATTTGACTGGTCATTATTATGACTTACCACTGTAATTTTTACAAGATACAGATATAGAGAACAATATAAAGGAAGTGCAGCGGCACAGCGAGGGGGAAAACGTGGGAATAAGCAAGCTAAAGAACTTTTTTCTCATTTTAGGTTGCATGATATCTGCATCTATAAACAAAATAAGATAATGCAATAATTTAAACGGCATTTAACAGGAAATGGGGT